GGGAACACATAGAAGATCAGCCAGCCCCAGAACCAAGGCATCGTTGATGTAGTTCAGCTGGATCGACATGTCTTTGTCTGAACGATACCCTCGAAGTTCAAGGTGGAGCAGAAGCGACCCTTCGACCTTGATTTTCAGATCCATCCACGTAGCCGAATCATCCCTCATGACCGGCCACCTAAACGGCTGAAAAGCCTGGTGAGCGAGGACGCGGCCAGTCTCCTGATCCCATCGGCCAGAGGGCACCGAGCTATAGGATGACATGGAACCACAAATGATCAACTTCTGACCATCCAACGTGCGGACGTAGAAGATGTTGAAGTGGTATCCAGTGTTCGGTGATCTGACCTGGGCCTTGTCCACATGGATATTGATCCCAGCTTGCGCATTCACGAGGATCTCATCGAGGAGCCAGCCTTGATACGGGCTCTGAAGCCTCTGATCACGGCTGTCGATCACAAGCACTGATTTCTCCCCTTCTCCGGATCCGATCTGGCGCAGGTAACCTGGGAGCTGAAAATTGAGAGGGCTCCTCAAGGGAGGTGCTTGACCCCACCTCACTGTCGACGGAGCCGTCTTCCAGCTGATGTCTCATTGACCCCTTCCAGTAAATTGCGAGCTGCCTGAGTAGCCGGAGCCGCTGCCCTAGAGGCTGGAGGAAATGGGTTAACCGACGGGTTGGCCACAGGTGGTGGCGCTGGAACATCATCAACTGGAGCTGCCCAAGGATCATCTCCCTCCTGTTCATTCGTGCTGGATCCAGCTGCTGCTGGGTGATGCTCATCAATTCCAGGCAGGCTCTCCTCATTCACCTCAGTGATCACTGGTCCTGAAGGCATGTTCACCTTAGTCCATGATGCTGCTGAACCAGTGCAGGATCCTACCATACTGGCGCTGTCATCGGGTGTGACCACTTCAGCTGCCCGGCGAGCCGCCAGAGCGATTTGTCGCTGGAGCGCTAGAGGTGTGGGAGGAGGAGCCTTCTTTGGAACGGCGGGAGGAGCCTTCTTTGGAACAGCATCGCCCTGTTGCGACATGGCACTAGTGATCCCCAGGCCCTAGGAACAACCTCAGGACACCAAAAAGTCCAAATTTCTGGATCACAGGTGCCTGTCCTCTTGAGTCCAAAATGGCACCATCAAAAACAGTTGAACAACCAAGTGGATCAAATGTAGGTAAGTTACACAACTGCTCCAAACCTACCTAACCGTTAGCAGCTGCACAACAGTTGGGTGACAGGTTGAATCTCAAATGGTCTTCAGGAACGATCAAAATCCGCCAGCACCGAAGGTGCTGAGGGGCGTTACACGGTTAAAGCGCAAAAGGATAGGGCTGCGGTATTTACCCCATTCGCGAGGGCATAGTGGTCCAAATGCTCGGAGGCGAGGATTTGTCGAAGATGGTCGACCCCAGGAGGTGGGCCCTCCTGCAAAGACAGGACCCACCCCACTTCGCAACCGGCAACAAAGATTGCAAAACACCCTTTCAGTCCCATCCAGCCCTGCGTGCCAAGATCCAATCCCAGCACGTGGACAAGGCTTCCCGGCACTTGGATCTTCCATCTCAAGATGGAAGAGACTGAATACAAGAGTTGAATAAGATTAACTCGAAAGTTAATTCTTCAGCAACAGCCCCCATTCAATGCGCCAGCCTCAAAGGATCAACTTGGGAGTTGATTCTGCCAGCTGCGCCAGCAGCCCAAACCAAGAATTAACTTCTGATTTAATTCTTTTTAAAGAGTGTCTGGCCCTTTCCCTCTCTCCCTCTCTCTCTCTGCCGGTCTGTCTTTCTATCCTTGTCTATCTTCCTACTAACTTGGAAGAAACTCTAGCTCTAGATGATTTGTATGAGAAAGCGAGAAAGTAGAAGACATGGCAGCCCTGGAAAAGAATTAACTCTTGATGTAATTCTTGTTAAAGGGTGTCTGGCCCTTTCCCTCTCTCCCTCTCTCTCTCTGCCTGTCTCTCTTCCTATCCTTGTCTATCTTTCTACTACCTTGCAAAGAAACTCTAGATGGTTTGTATGAGAAAGAGAGAAAGTCGAAGATTGTTGGAGGATTGCTGGGACATGGCAGCCCTGGAAAAGAATTAACTCTTGATTTAATTGTTCTTAAAGGGTGTCTGGCCTCTGCCTGTCTGTCTTTCTATCCTTGTCTATCTTTCTACTAACTTGGAAGAAACTCTGGCTCTAGATGGTTTGTATGAGAAAGCGAGAAAGTAGAAGATTGTTGGAGGATTGGTGGGACATGGCAGCCCTG